TCTGTCTTCCCCGGGCTCCATTGTCAAAAGTGGGTCTTGGCTTTGTCAGAGGTATGAGGTGCTGGTGGATGGAGTCTCGAAGTCCATCAAAGCCGAGAATTTGTGACCTGGCTAAGCAGCGGTTTATCAGCTTTAAACTTAAAATTTAAAACATCTTAAAAACATGTGCTTGAATATTTTCAGACATGTTGCGTCCATGTCATGGCCCACTTGGCGTCGAATGCCTGAATGCCTGAGCAGTAGCCCTGACTGAGGCAAGCCATTTAAGGTGCTGATGCTCAAAGACTTCCGGCCTCAACAAAAGGAATCCATTCGTGTTGCCTGCAGGTGCAGGTGTACACTCTTGATGTGGAGTGTTAGGAATGATTAGTAATGCATGTTTTCTCCAGTGCTGACTGTTGGTTTCTGTTGACAATCGCATCACAGCATTGAGACTTGCAGCATCTCATCTCAGCTCAAGGAACCCACCTTGTTTGTAATAATATTGTCGATTCATGTCGAGCAGCGCTTTACATAGAAAGTGGTTCCCCCCAAAGTGCGTTTGTCACATGAGTGTGTGACCAACCCGGCAAGCAATCATGCCTTTATAGACACTGAGAAGCACCATGATTCATGCGGATGCCGTTCGCTTTTGACGGTGATATTGTTGCTGGGAATGGCATCCTTGAGTGAGGGCTGAAAGCCTGTGTTGCCAATTTTCGGCAGGGCTGGGACGACCACAGCCATGGGCCGTCATGTTCCTTCCTTGCGCATTCCGCAAGTTCGCTTTCCGGAAAGTTGTCAGGGGCTGAGGTATACAGTATGGGAATATGTGCGGTGAGTGACTGTCCTTCCAACTCTTCAGACACGCATGCTGGGTGAAAACATTGCTGTGCGTTATGTGAATTGGCACCGTGGGTTTCTGATGGCTTGCGTCTCCCTTCTCAGGTGCTTTCTCGGATCTTGCTCCCTCGGTATTAATATGTATTAATTGTGTGTCCTTCTTTAAAAAAATCCAGGGCAAGCGTATGTATGTCATGGCTTACGCCTGACAGCCGGGCGCCGGCCAGCCGACCAGGGAGGAAAGAGATGAGGGAGGTGGAGGAAGAAGGGCCATAGGTGGAAAATGGTGGCCATGGTTGTTCCCTGCGGGCCCGTAAGCCCGTAGACTATGCCCGCGCAGGCCCGCAGGCCCGCGAGCCTGTTCGTCAAAATGACATCATGAGGAAAGGATTTATATATATATATATATACAATTATGTACAGTATATATAATGAATGAAAAATGACAGTGAGACCCTGGGGGATCAATGGGTGTCCCAACTTCTGGGCCTTCCAACTCACCCTCGATGACTCCACATCACAAGCAGAGTTTGTCAGCTCCAGCATGCCATGACTTTGTGGCCATGATCAGCTCACATCACAGAATTTTGGACTGACTTACATTTTTTGGCCCAAGTATGGGATCGCAGCGCTAAAGTTATGTTGCCATGAAACGGTGAGGGGCCCACTAAGTTTATTCAATCAGGCGTCAAGGAACCATATATATATAATACTATGTGATAGTGTGTGTTTTTTGTGTCTTCATGTGTCTTCCATCTCCACTGTGACGGGATGGAACCAAGGGCTAGTCTTGAAGCATGATGTTAGCATAGACCCCAGCTAGCAAAACTAAAAGCCGCGCACTAGGCAGTGGCACTCTGCAGCGGCGCCAGCACCCAGGCTCCAAAGTGCACACGGCCATGCACATTTGTCAGCGGCACCCTCCAGCTGCACCCTGCAGGGGCACCAGTGCCCAGGCCTCAAAGCGCCCACTGCTGTAAGCAACACCCTCCAGCGGCATCAGCGCCCACAATCCAAAGCTCACCAAACCATAGACATCAGGCACTGCATCTTCAACCAACACCCAGGTTCCAAAGCGCACTGAGGCACACTGCCCTAAACTTGAAGGCCCGACAAAAAACACAACCCCTCCCTCTCCAAGACGGCGCCGGGACTTGGGGCATCCAGCAGCAACCTCCATGCAGGAAGGGGACAAACTGTGACTCAAGCTCAACCACCTCCTTGTTATGCATCAGCCTCAGAAAACTAGAACTGGCCTGAATGAGTGATCCAGGCTCTCACCTTTTATGTGGACAACACTGTGGCACAGGGCACTTTGGAGAATCCTCAGGAATGTCAACAATATCTCAAACACATCGGGGCTCTGTCGGGTGTTTTGCAAGAAGCTGGCCTTTGCATCAATCAGCTCAATCTTGGCACAATGGTGCCATGATCTCGGTCAAAGGGCAAAATTGCAATCTCCTGCAGAGCCACCTTGTTCAGAAGACTGCCAAAGCCGGAATACCCTGATCAACTGGCCCCCTACTTATATTGGAGGTTCTGAACAAGCAACGCTCGCGCGGGACAGCTCCAAGCATGACATCTACAATCCATTGACTTCGCCGCTTCGGAAGAAAAGGTGGCTTTCAGTTGGCTACAGAACTGCTTTGTGGAAAGCAATGGTCCAAAGGGCTCTTGTCGTTGCATATGGGTCTTTCACCATCAGGGCTCCAGCAACTGGTGAGAGTTTTGACTTTGATGCCTTGATGCAACGCATGACCTTACAAGATCGTTCACACGCAGGTCGCAGTTGCACATTACACCAGTGGGGCACATTCGACGCATTGAACGTCGCCTGCAGCATCGTCAGACCCAGTTGACCATCATGGACCACGTCAGATTCAAGCCGCGCCTGGCAAACGGTGAGCTTGAGAGGCGAATTCGGACGACCGCATTTTCTTGCCCTTTCTGCGCAATGACCTTTTCAATCTCTTCACTCTTCACTGTTGGCAAAACGGTCAACAACAACATCACCGCGACCATGTTTCCAGGTACTCTTGTGTCTTCTGTCATGGACCAACCTCCAGCAGCACATCAAACAGGGCCTGTGCTCTCAATTTGTTGCACACAGTTTGACAAGTGAGGCCTCCCATCGAATGAAATCGCGACGCCAAGCGATGCATCTTTTGAATGCTTCAGAGATAACATTGCTACCCAGAAGGATTGGTGTCAACTCTTCATTGCATCCATTGTGGCAGGGTTACCCTGAGCACCCTGAGTACGGCCATTTTTTCTTTTAACGCATGCCTTGCTTGATCGATGGTCCACCAGTTAGCGCTTTGTTCTCTTTCAATTGGCTTCGTTGCACGCCCCTCAGGCAACGTCAGCGCAACTGCCTTTGCGATCACCACCCCTCTCTCAGATGAAAGAAGCCTCAAGACACACCCGCACACGGACCATTGGATTCTGCAGTATCAGGGACATCACTAAAACCCAAGACGCTTCGACGTGCCGTCGCTGAGGGGGAGAGTTCAAGGAGACATGGGAACTGGAGAGGCACATAAATGGATGAGGCGTTTTGCTAAGACAGGTGCCTGCGCCAAGAGCTCTGGAGAGCTCTGGATTTCCCGCGGAACCGTCACACGCAGCATGGCAAGTTGACTTCCAGTACATGGACAAAGGGAGATGACAAAGGGACCCGGCGATCCGATGCTTTCCAAAAAGCATCGTCTTGAGTCAAACAGCTCTTGGAGGCCTTGTCGCTTGGGAAGTGGCGGAGCTTCACTGCGGATCCGTCCATTCGTACGCACCTGGCTGTTGGGCACACTGTGTGGGCAAGGGCTCAAACAAGCTTCAGACCTCACTATCCACCCTCCTAACTAAATGGTTAATGGGGGGGGTACCTGGTGGCTAGCCATTTTTCCTTAGCCATTTAATTTTGTAGGATGTGTATATATTTGTGTTTATACCTCACTCAATTTCACTAAGCTTGACACACAAGGCCCTCAGTACTTTCTGCAGCCAGTGCAATCGCAGCTCTAAATCTCCACGAATGCTGGCAAAGCAGCAGCAGCAGCAGCAATTGCCAACTTCAGCACGCCAATGGCATCGATCTCCACCCATGCACCTTGTGTGGCAGAGACTTGGCTACCTACAAGGCCTTCCACAGTCCCATTTGATCACAGCCAAGTGAACCTTTCCCCCCTCATGTGGGACAAGCAGGAACTTCTTGTGTCATCTTTTTTCAGTTAGCCATGCCTGCGGCTGTTTTGCAATCTCTCCTTCCTTTTCATCTCAGTTGCATTGACGAACCTCTCCCCGAGCGCCTGCAGTGGATCCAATCGCACCGGTCCGAGACCGGTCACTTCCCTCAGTTTACGGAGAAGAGGGAAGAAGAGTTGCGGCGGTTGCTGTTGGTGGTGGTGATGGTGGTGTGGGTGTGGGCGGTGTGGGCACGGTTGCCGTTGTTCTTGTGGCAGGTATAGCTGCATTTTCTTTGGTGTTTTTACTAATCACTACTATTACTACTACTACTACTCCTCCTCCTCCTACTCCTACTGCTACTGCTACTGCTACTGCCCTTTTCCTGAAAACATGTACACGTCGTGCTTTTCATGTCAGCCCTGATGATTTGGATGCCTCAGGTTCGCTTTCTTACACCAGTTTCATACTGAACTTATTTCGGTTTGAACTTTGAGTCCTCAACACGGGTGAGGAACCCAGGGGCGGCCTACTGGGACCACCAAAGGCTTCAAAGGGAAAAATTTGAGTAAAAGATGTGGATTGCTTTCATTCTGCTGTCCTTTCCTTGAAACCGGACCCATTACCCGTTAGTAAACCAACAAAAACAAAACACTGTAATCATGAATGGCCCAGTCGGCGAAAAGGCTGTTCAGTATCCTGACCCCTTGATTCGGACATAAAACAAAATAAGAGACAAGTTTTTCAGTGTTCTGTTGACTACTCCATGGAAATATGTTTGGCGCTCGGGATTTTGTAGGAGGCACTTCCATTGTAGGAGTGAGCCTATTAGACAATATTTGCAGTTGACAGGTGTTTGCAGTACAAGACAAAACAAGGCATGCGTATAGCCGTTCTGGATGTTCCCAAGGCTATATAGAGCCAAGAGGCAGTAGGTGTAGGTCATTTGATGATATTTGATGTCTTCATTGCGCCGCATGCTATATTTGAGCACCGGAACAGCGAGGTGAAGAGCCACAAAGTTTGGTACCGAGGCAGCAGGACGGCAAAAAAATGCTCGGGAGCGGAGTCCATTTGTCCATTTGGAACTGGTTGGTTTGCGTCACGAACAATTTGCAGCTGAGGAGCATCAAGCGCACTTTCGTGGTACTGATCCGCCAAAGTTCCCAGTGATTTGTCAACCTCAACCAAGCTGGTGTCGGCGCCCCTGGTTTAGCCAGGCAGCGATCGCTGCTTGCTTGTCAATCGACTAGTGACTAGTGTTTCTTTTGTTTTGCCATTGGACTCTAGAATCTTAATGTTTCAGATGCATGTGCTCGATCTTGCTGGTGCTTGATTGCTTGCAGGCGCAAGCCGAATTGACACAACTGGGTCCAGGGCCATCACCCAGAGCTTTGCGCAGACGCCCAGGGGAGGCAAGAGCTTGGTTGGCCCAGCAGTTTTCTGCCATTTGGACATGAAGGAGCAAATAGCATTTTAGAGACGTATAAAGCACGCAAGAGTCTAGAGTCTAGAGATTCAGAGAAATATAAATTTGACAAACCGAGCAATGAGCACTTGAATGCTGCAGGTTTGCAGCAACACAACTTGAGTTCAATGTTGGGGATGACAAGACAAGCTAGCTCAGTTTCGTGTGGCAGGTGCAACTGGAAATCCCAGCTGAAATCTCCCAAACCCCAGACAGCACTCCTGTTGCTCAAAATGCGCTGGGAGGACGCTGGGCATGCACGGAGAGAGCAAGACTTGCCACAGTTTGAACAGAATCTAAGGCCTAAAGGTCACAAAGCAGCGTTCTTTTAAAGCGTGCATTCATGTTTTCACTGCTAAATACAGGGTACTGATGCTCATTTCATGAGGCCTGCCCAGTAGTATATAGGCATTCTGTGTTTTCTTTGAGATTTTGTGCTGCGCTTGCAAATGAGCACCACTTTAGCCTTTGGACCTGTCTTCTTGTTGTGCAAAATGTTACAGCTTTGCATTGGCTGACAGACCTTTCATCAGTATGCTTGGAGTAATTATACTTTCAGCCTTTCAGTACTGCTACGGCCTCTTCATTGTGCCTTTGTGCCCATGAGCTTCAGTTTCCTCGGCTATCCGGGTAGGGCCCCGTGATGAGGACTATGGCTTTGCATTTGCGATGATGATCTTGTTGTTTGACCGCATGTTGGCGTTCGATGAACTTCGTATTTGATGTTGCTTTCTTATGCGTTCTTACTTTCTGCACCATTCGTGAGTCCTGAGACTGTAGACTTGCCACGGGGTATCATATCTATGCGGCTATTGGGCACAACGAATCTCGTGTAAATAAGCAAAAAAATAAACATATATATATATACATAAATGCATGTATAGATACATTCATTTACTGTAATATTTTCACATGACATACATAAATTGCCATGTGGATTCAATCTCTTGAACCAGTGCGCCTACATATTTGTGGGCGGGCAGGCGTTCACTTTGCAATTGTGATACTTGGATGTTGCACTGTCAGACTTGCATCTAACCGCTTCCTCGCCTCCAAATCAGGGCAGTCGATTGAAGTGTCTCTTTGTTATGCCTTCTCTTTTGCCTTACTGACTCAGTGACGTTGCTTGGTTCAGTCAAGGGGTTCATCTGCGGGATGCCGGTGTTTTTTCACAAATCTCCATAGCATTGGACTATAGACTATTGTCTTACCAGACTTGTTTTGCGCCTTTGCTGCTGTTACTGGTATTGGGAGTTCCCTTGTGCAAGATTGAAGATTGCAAGCTTAGTATGTAGGTAGTATGGGGCAGCGTGCATTCTTGATTCTGAATGCAGCTTCAGCCCCCTGCAGGAGACCACTTCAAACAATTGCATGCAGACGAACAGGGCCAGAGCAGGCAGACAATATTGCACCTTGGCCCCGCACTGCACGCAGAGACAGAAGTAGTGCAAAAGATGGACTGCATGTGAACATAAGGTGGGTCCATGTCCCGGGCAACGTCGTGCCGTCCAAAGATGCATACAAGAGTGCCATTTCAGGTCAAAACATATTGGAGGACAGATGTGAGGAACAGAGATCAGCCCAAAATGGATGCAGTCGACGGTCGACATGCTTTGCAGGAAAGACTTGCCGAAATTATGGCAACAAAATCCTCGGGTGTGAAATTATACACTTGCACCTGTCGCTGAAAATGAAAAGATTTGCGGAAAACATGACGAGGTGCGGCACAACCATGTTCTCTTTTCTTCCTGAAGCAGCCTGAAGCACACTTGCAGTGGGTAAAAAGCATATGTCTCACTCACTGACTCCCACTCGCACTCACACTCACTCACTCACTCACCCAGACTATATTTCACAAAGTGAAGAATATATCTCGAAAGCCAGCCGATAGGCTAGGCTGGAGTTGTCGATGGGCGAACGAAGTGAGTATTAGGGGGTGTGGGGGGGTGGTCGCACAGAGGTTAATTTCGGAGGGCAAACCCAGAGCCTGCGGGGGAGAGCGAAAAAGAAGTTCGTCAGTTTCAGTTTGGGAGTGAAAATGTATTGTTTTTGGGGTGTTGCGATGCAAGCGATGTAATCGACAGCGAAGCATCATTAGCACCATGAGGGGCTCAGGAGGCCATTTAAACAGTCTTCTACCAGGGGTGGGCGTTCACGTCAATGATAGGGAGGAGGGGACAACGGGACGCGAAAAGTGGTTGGACTCCTCCACAAAAAGACTGGGGGCCGCTTAAATAGTCTTCGCACTCTTGTGGACATGATGTGATCTGTGAGCGCAGGAGAGGGAACAGAACGGAGCGGGGAAGGGATTGCAAGAAATGGTGTGGTCCGTTGAGGGCAGCAAAGGTAGCAGAATGCGATGGGCCAGCTTTGAGTTGGTTGGGGGTGCCCTTTTTTAATGGTGAAAAGGCATAGTAGCCAGACGCAAAAGGGCACCCCCATATGGGGTGGGAGTTCATGTGGAAGATAGGCATAGCGGATTTCGGACGTGGTAGGAAAAGAGGGATTGCAAGAAATGATGTGACCCATTGAGGGCAGGAGGGAGAATTGAATGCAGTGGGCCACCTTTGAGTTGCTGGAGGTGCCCAATTTTTATATTGAAGAGGTGGGAGTTCATGTGAAGGAGAGGCATAGCGGGGGACGATGTGATAGGAAAAGAGGTGGGGCGCTCACCAAGGAAGCGAGAAGCGCGGCGCTCATCGCTCTGGAGAAAACGTGACCTTTAGAAGATAGGAGAGGGAAGGGGACAACTTGACGGGAAAAGAGGTCGGAAATACAGCAGAAAGTGAGATGTGCATCCCTTAACCATCACTTTCTCGTGGTGAATAAGAGTGGAAGGGAACGCCAGTGGTTGGGCTTTGGTGGGGATCGAAGAAGTTCAGCTGGTGCATTGTAAGAGTGGATGGGAGTGGACACGGGTGTTGGGGGCGGGTGCCCTTTTTCAGCTTGACAACACCCTGGAACCACGGGAAGGCAGGGTGCCCCCCTGTACTATGTATTCTGGTTTCTACCACCCACCGGCGTGGCTACCGTGCCGACTTCACCTCATCACAATGCTGCTTTGTGCTGGATGTTAAACACTCGACACTCACTTGATCTTGGCTGTAACGTCGAGCCACCATCTACAAAGCAAGGGTGGCGAGCAGCATGCAAGCGCCCGTCGATTCCTTCCGGACGTTTTTCTTGGCCTTAAAACACACTCAAGTCTCTTAAGTCAAAGGAAAAAGGGCGCTCCCGGCGACCCCCAAAAAATTGTATTTGTTCTTTTCATTTACCCCATAACACAGCCATTCTCTGCCCGATGTGAGACATTTGATCTTGGCGGCAACATCGGACTTAAGTCAAAGGACGAAGCGGCGCCCCCCAAACCTATATCTTCTGCTGTCTATTTGCAACAGCAGTAGACATCACCGCCATGTTTTACCCCAGCCAGCAAAGACCCCACGTGGCATTTGGAGTTTACTGGATCAGTTCTACAATATTGCGGATCGACGGCTCTGAGGCATCGATAGGCCGGCTCCTTGACCAGCTCCCCCGGTCTGGCGGCGGCGGGCTTCAGGTCGTGGCCCCCTCCGTCTCCGAGATCTCTCTACAGTATTTTCTTGTTCTTTCCAGTCCCATGTCCCAGCATCCAGCACCTCTCCAAGGCAGCGCTCTGCCACGCGCGAGGTAGTCGCCAGCTTCAAATCTTTGGAACACTGGACGACAAGCCGCGTATGTCCACTCATGAACCGAGACATCACAAGCGCCAACAGAATGTTCATAAACAGAATGCAACCTCATCATGCATGTTGTTCTTTGGGCCAGGCCTGAAATCTTCACAAGTTTGATCAGCTAGGAAACCCCATGTGATTTCCTGTTCGCCAACCCATTTCCAAGAGACCACGCTTGAGGAAGAATGGCGTGTCGTTCGAGATGCACCAATCACAACAACACAGACGACCAACCTCCTCCCTCAAACGTATCTCACACAAAGATTTCCAACTTCAAACAATTTAACTTTTCTCGCTTGTTATGCTCCTTTGAAGAGCGAGCTCAGAGCCCTGCTCTATTCTGCAAATCGCGTCGAAACTATTTCTTTTCAAGCAATGATCGTTGATCTTCATGCGAACTTTGATGATGATGATGATGATGATGATCGTCCCTTATATTGAGATGAAATATATGTATATATCCTAAATTTATGACGAACCTTATTACTATTCGGATATATGCTATATTTTTTGCAAAAAACTATATCTAATATATTAATATAACTACTATTTGATAATCTATATTTAAAACTTATACCAGTATAGACCCCAAACAGCGTCAGCATTTTTTTCGGCGTCGGCGTCAACTCCGAAATTTCCATGTTGATGGAAACGAACGCAAATATATTTTCCTGGAGCCTCTAGCTGTTTGGGAACTGCACGCCCGGACATAGAGCCAGGCCACAGAGCGCAGCCATAGAGTTCGGGGCCGCGGCCAAGACAAGGACAAGACCCGGACACAGAGCCGGGCGCGGCCAAGACAAGGACAAGTGGAGGATAGAGTTCAGGGGGGCGGCCAAGACAAGGACAAGAGGAGGACAAGAGCCGGGCCACAGAGTTCAGGGGCGCGGTCAAGACAAGGACAAGAGGGGGACAAGGCCCAGACACATCCAGACACAGAACCGGGCTACAGAGTTCAGGGCAAGGCCCGGACATAGAGCTGGGCCACAGAGCCCAGCCACAGAGCCCAACCAGACAAGAACAAGAGGAGGATAAGAGCCCAATTATAGAGAGTTTAGGGGCGCGACCAATGAGAATGATTAATTCTATTTCTTCTAAGCTAGAATCTTAACAATACATGTTTGGGAATAATTTCTTTATTTCGTAAATTATCTATATTATAAAAGTATTTAAATTGGTCTATGGTTAATGATTTTTAAGTTAGTATAGATCCAAATAGCATTAAAAAGATTCGTTTAAATTAATATTAATTAAAAAAACGATTTTTTGACACGTCTTATTTTTATTCTAAAAGCAAATTGTATTATTAATTAGTTGTTGTCGGCATTGATATCGTTATTTGTTCGATTATATTCGTCTTTATTTTTATTAAATCGGGCTATAGAATTTAGCGATTCATAGAATTGAGGGACGCGGGTAAAAAAAGAAAATGATATGATCCGGATATACGGTCGGACCATAGAATTTTGACTAAAAGGATGATAAAACGATGATAAGGCTTTGATATAGAATTTATATAATTACATAGTTTAGGGACGATTCTAATAATAAATTATTTGATTATTTATATAATATATATATAAAATATATTATTAGAATCGATCTATTGTTTTTAATAACGAAAAAAACAAATTTTAAAGTTCGAAATCGATAAATTAATAAATAAAGAATTTGATAAATCGATAAATTATGGATGTTTTTTTTGGTTTTTGGTCGTTAGTAGGGAATATGGATTTATTTTTTTTATTATATTAACGAATTTCGCGTAATTATAAAATTTATCGTTCGATGTTGTTTTAGGTTTTCTTGATTATTTTCTGCAAATTCCTTGTTATTTGTAATAATTGTTGTAATGGATAGTTAGCAGGATATACGATAATGCTATAGATCGTAGAGCATTGCACTAGAATTGTTAGAAAGGGTAGATAGCTATTTACTACAATTAATTATTTAGATTGATTAATGGGTATATGTCCGAATGGTTCTCGCTTGTCGGATTGTTATTTTAGGAGTTGCAATCGAATTGTTGTGCGATATTTATGTTTTAATTAAGTTGTCGTTTCTTGAGAATTGAACGGTGGTATTAAAGGATCCGGAATAATCGGAATTTAAATAATGCAAAAATTATATTTAATGCATTGAAATTTTATAAATTATATTTAATATATTTAATGAGATGGAATCATTTTGATATACTATTTATATCGATTTAATATGTTGTAATAAATATATATGTATTTACGATTTTTTTATATTTATTTATAATACATATATTTATATAAAAATTCTAAAATTGAAATCTTATTAAATAATAATATTTCTCCTTAATAATGGTTTTTATTTGATTCACAAAAAAAACGGCGTTAATTGGCGATGCATCCGTTTGTACTTTCAAGGCATTAAGATAATTTATGGCCTTGATATTGCCTCTATCATAAGCAAATTGATCTTTTTATTAATGGTGATTATTTTATTTTATTCTAAGCCTAAATAAATAGTTCGAAATTTTATGAAATATAATGATATTTCGTCTTAGCATTGAATTTCGTCTGAGCCCGAGATAGATCTAGTGTTAATTGACGATCTATTAATTTGCTCTGCAATAAGTTAAGTGTGGTTTGTATCGTTCTGAAGTTTTGTAAATTTCATTTAATGACACATTATTTATATCGATTTAATATTTTGGAATAAATATATATATATTTATGATTTTTTTGGATATATTTGCAATGCATAAATTTATATTAAAATTCCAAGTTTGAATTTCCATTAAAAAGCAATGTTTTGTCTCAGCAAAGGACTTCTTCTGATTCCCAAATAGCAATAGATCCGGCGTGAGTTGGCGACCTACCCGCTTGCTCGGTGCTTATGGAAGAGCTAGTATCAAAGTCATAAATGATTTCAATACCTTGAAATAGATTTATTCATCAATGGGGATTATTTTATTTTGTTCCAAACCTAAAAAAACAGCTCGAAACCT